AAGCACTGGAGGTATTTGAGCAGGGCAGAAACATTGCCAGGGATGAATATTACAGAGAATAATCTGGGAGCTGCATGTAGGTAGACTGGAGGCAGAGGAAACAAGATGACCGAGAGGAGAGGTAGTGGCTGAGGAAACGAGCCAGAAGGAAGAATGATTTTATAGAAGTGTCACTTGACAGATAATTCTCTACTGAAGGTGAAGGCAGTGAAGTTAGCACAATAATATCGTTATTCAGCTTTGGAAGCTCACAGCAGGGATTCTAAACTTTTTCCTTCAAAGGCCAGATACACATTTTAGGCTTCGTGGGTCATACAGCCTTCACAGCAACCATCCAACGCAACCACTGGAGCGCAAAAGCATCCTAGACAATGTGTAACTGAACACACAAGGCTGTGTTCCAGTAAAACTTCATTTACTGAAACATCCAGCCTGCAGGTCGTGGTTTGCTGATCTCCGGTTTCGAAGATAATGGCACCAGGGCTGGTAGTAAACCATCACCTCTGAACTATCAACCCGCCCTCTTGTTTCCTGGCTTGGGATGCTGGGGCTGGGACTCTGCAAAGCACTCTTCTGTTTTCCCTGTGAGGTCTGGAACAGGGAGAAGGGACACACTCCTTCCTGTTTTGCTTGCTGTCCCCATCAGGGTCATTACAACAATGGCTCTTTATGCTGCAAGCTGCAGTGGGTTCTGATTTCCAGTTTCTTCCTACACTCCCAGAATCAGCCTCTAATAGAGCTGCCTCAGAGACATGAGTGCCAGCCACCTGGCACCCCCCCCCCACAGGGGTTTGAGTCTTGGCATCAAGAAGCTGTTCCTCTGAGCTCCTGAGGCATCAGTGCCAGCCAAGTAGAGCCCTCTCCCCAGATCCAAGAGACTAGGTCCTAATAACCCTCACCTCTTCCCTCTGTTCTAACAGCCCAGCCAGTGGTAGCTGCTTCCTGGGGTCATTATCTTCGTGTCACCTCAGAATTCCCTTTTGCTTTTCCTTGTCAATCCTCCAATATCTGTTTAAATAATTTCTTGTATTAATTCTCTCTATTGGAGTAAGTGGTGTGGTTTCGGTTTCCCTCCCTGAACCCTAATCATACACAACTGTATTCTGTATAGAGTAAGGAGATACACAGGGATATAGACAGGAAATAGGAGAAGTGTAGTCTTGAAGGGGTAAATGTTGAGTCTACTTTTAGAACTGATGAGCTTGGAGAACTGACAAATCAGTCACTTCCAGAGTTCTAGCTGGCAGCGGGATATTGAAAAAAGTCAGGGATATATTATTCACATGAAGACGCTGTTTATATGAGTGGGAAACAACTAGGAAAAGCATCATAAAAGTGGAAAAAATAGTAATGGGAAACACCTTTATTTCTGAGAGAAATGATAAAGGGGAAGAAAAGACAAGGCAAAGAAATAATTGTGTTAGAGGCAGAAGAACAACTTGCGGAATACAAGAAGCCAAGGAAAGGGTGAGTCTTAAGAAGGTGGTCAAAATAGGCAAATCCTGTAAATATCAGGGGAGATGATGGATGACATGACCCCAAAAGGTAGTGTCCATAGAACAGCAAAGTTAGAATTGGAAGGGTTGGTAAGAGAAATGAAGCCAGAGAGAACCATCTTTTCTTTCTTTTTCAAGTGAAGAGATCTGATGGTGAAAGGAAGATGGGAGATCATATAGAGACCTACAAAGCCCAAATAAACCAAATTTTATTTCTTTCTTTGTAAGGAAAGCTCTTAGGCAGAGAAGTGATCAGTGGTGATGGGTAATGGGATATGCACAGGATAAAGGAATAACACATGTGATGTGTGAGTGGAGAAAAGCGGGTGAGGAGGGATGGGATAGAGAACCCAACTGATATAAAGGAAGAGGACCTCGTTCTCTGAGATCCAGACAAATTTCATGTAGGGAGGAGAGCAGTGAACTTGTCTTGAAAACTGAAACTGTCCTAACGCCTTGTGCCTGTGTTAAACAGTAATGGGACAGTCATATTTTCCTATTCCTATGCTAACCGTGCTGAGACTGAGTGGTAATGCCATCTGCTTGTTCAAGGAATACGTGCTCATATATAATGAGACTGTGGACCACCCTGTCCAGATCCTCCTTTAAGAAAAGGCTTCTGCCCTAACTGCTGGGGAATGCTGTTGGCTGAACGTCTTAATCTGTCATTCCCTTCAGAGACTGTCCCAGCTGCAGAAAGCTGTCTCGACCATTACTTCCTTCCAGGAGTCGCTATGTCCAATGACATGGCTCAATGTGGGACATTTCTGATGGGTCATTTTAAATACATAGAGCTCCCTATGGAGGACTGACTGACACTGTGGAGCCTGCATCATAGCTTGACTTCTCCTCCTGGCCGGTCCGGCTGTCTCCCCAACTTGTGCCTCAAGGGCACAGCCTAATAACCATCCTAGATACTAACCTGCCCCAGAATCTGCTTCTGTAATGACCTATAACGTCAGCTCAATAGCTTGCTTCTAACAGCTTGCTCATAGAGACTTATTTTAACAACCTTGCTGTACTGTGCCCACTAAATCAACTTATTTTGTCATAAACTCTGCCCAGTCCCTACCAGTTTCCTGCCTTGGAATACCTCCCTTAAAGTCATCTGGTCTAGGCCCTAAAACACTGTAGATAACCTGTCTCAATTTTCTTTTTGGAGACTGTCAAGGTGGTATCCTCTCTTATTTCAATGAGTGTAATAGACTTAGCTTTGCTGGATGAACAAGTTTTTCTGGTGATCTTCCAGAGAATTGATAGTTGAGAGTTTTCATCAGATATCATTATTCTTCCCAAGTCTTGGAAAGTCTGATAGCTTCAGGGGAAAAGGGGAAGTTTGGAAAATATATTTTGGCCAATTTAATAAGGAATTGACTCTAAAAACTATGTTTTCTGTTTTGACTTGGGATTTTGCAAGGAAGAGTGATCTCCTGGGGTGGACAGAAGTTCTACAAAAGTGGATTCAGATAATATGGCATAGGACAGTCAGAGATTGGAGCTACTGTCTTCACCTTATAACTGGTGCTGTCAGAAATCCTATCACCCTGATGGGGCAGCTTGGGCTCTGGTGGACGTAAAGTCCCTGATATCTGCTTTGACTCCACAGTCATGTGTTTCCTAGGATTTGAGATCCTCCTTCATTCTGAGTGCTCTCATTTCTCCTTTCCTCCCAGGCTTCTCATCCCAACTCCTTCATCCTCTGATGCTTGTAGGTTCAGAAAAAGAAGCTTATAGCCACAGAAAGCTTTTCTTTCTTCCTTGTGTAAAATATATTCATAGGAACTTGGGAGCACATAGACAAATACATTAATTTTCCTTGAAATAATCTTAGAGATATTACAAGAGCAATTAATATGGGAGATGATCTTGAGAATACATGTAATCTATTCTCCTGCCTTCTACTCCATTCTTAAAATATTCAGAGATGGAGGTTTCCTATATAATTTTTTTCATTAGTTCTCACTAGGACGTATTTCTTATTTGTTGAAATTTAAGCTAACTTCTTCCTGCCATTAATGAAAATAGCTCATTCAGTAACTAATTGCTACTGAACGCCTGCTAGGACAAGTCCACCAACCCTCTCATAATAGCATGTTCTATCTTTGAAGATGGTTAGTAAACCTCTTCTCTATCTTCTCTTCTTTAGGTCAAATTGACCAAATTGTTTCCTTTATCTGATTTCCAAAAGACAATTTCAATTTCCTTTTTTGAATGCATTATTTGTAAAGACAGGGGCAGGGCATTAATTAAGTCAAGTTCAGCCTACGAAAGATCCTTGATTCAAATTATCAGCTTCTGAGTTTTGAAACGTTTGAAGTTTAAGCTTATTTGATGTCATCTGGGTTTTCCCCTCCTTTTATTATCTTCGTTATCAACAGCAATCTCTGCTGCCTGAAGGCACTGAATGTTACAATTTCAAACACCCCACCCAACTCAGTTGAAAACACCTTGAATCACACTGGCTGTGGGGGCCACCTGGGAGTCATATTGACTTAGAGGCATAACAAAGGTAGGACCCAGAGCTTGGAGAGAAAATGAGACAGTTCTGGTGCTTATAATCTAGAAACTTTGCCACCCCCACAAAGAACAAAACAGATGCTCTTGCTAAACATTTTTTTCCACAGTATAATTTGCTTTTCTAAAGAAGTGGTACTTAGAGTAGCTGTAGAACAAATTAACATATGAATCTTTAAAAAACAACAAACCTGAGTTCAAAAATGGCACTTAAAAAATAGGTTAAGACACCTTTTTCAATTATATGCTTGAAAGAAAGTTTATAATGTGATTATACAATTATTTTGTCTAAAGTTAGTCAATTTTCTATTCTCATAATTATTGTGAGAGTTTGGCTTTCACACCTCTCGCCTCTTCATTTTCCCACAGTTATCACTAACTTTGAATTTTTCAGTTTCTTTATATTACCACTTTCATTGTTGCCAACTTCTTTCTGTTCTTGGGGAGGAAGCTAGGAGTGTGCCCTAGGAGAGCTGGATTGAAGTTCTGGGGTTTTGCAGATGGAGCCATGGCAATCCCTCCCAGTTGTACCCAATCCCATTTAGTTTTAACCTCTGCACATAATTCTTCCCATTATTCAAAGCGAGTTGCCTCTTTTCTGTGCACTTATCTTGACGACGACTGAGCAGTCATTTCACTACCAGTCAAATACACTCAAGGTCTCATTTTCCTCATTTACAAAATAATTTCTGAAGTCTCTTCTAGCGCTATAATTTTACCATTCCAGCATTTTAGAATCATTAGCTCTATCTCCAGACCTTACATTTCAGCGTTTCTTAAAATCCTGACGTGGTGATAATTTGGGGCGTTATCGTAGTCTATTAGTTCACTGCTGAAAACGTGTACTGTTCTGTTTCCCTCGGGTGGGAGAGATGACAATCCTTGTATGTAAAAGTACCATAAATTACATTTGCAAGATGAATTCCTATCTTTTTTTGGAAAGGGGTAGGGTCTTGTATTCCTTTTTTTCTCATTTTTTTTTTCTCTTAAATTGTCCTCTCGTGTCCTCTGGCCGTTAAGAGCCAGCCCTGCTCTTAGGACAGCCCTCCTAGACTGAGAGGGAGACTGCTGTACGGCCTGCCAGTCTCTTCTGTTAGACCTGAGCAGAGGGAGGTCTTGGACCTCTTACAGCTGCAATTTACTTCTTTAATTTCTGGGAAACTCTTAAAGTTCCCAGAAGTCATTGCAGAAATCACCAAAATCATAAGATATTTTCTTCTTCCCTTTTCTACCCTTTGACAACTTGCTTAGGAAAGAGGTAGTCTGTTCTTCTTCAGTCTGGGAAAGCACCCATTTTCCCACTTAGTATTTTTACATTGTGACAATTTTCTCCCCCTTGAAAGTTAGAGAGAAAAGGATTGTCTCTATGAGAATGGGTGGAAAGGAATGACTGCAAACTATCATAAATAGTTTTTTTGGTAATTCTATCTGGGGAATACGTTTGAGTTAGTAACCACCTAATTCTTAAATTTATGAAATATAAATATATGTGGTACAAGCTTCTTTTAAGTAATTTCAAAGGAAAAAAATAACTTTAAAAATGTTATAGATGGCAGTTGAAATCCTTCCTGGACTTAAATAGCAATTATAAGGGAGCAATTTCAAAATCAGAAACGTTTGGATGAAATTTCTCACAATACGTGGTAGAAATTTTATCAAGTATTTCAATGTAATCACTGCCTTTTGTTACCAGATGTCAATCTTTTAAGAATTTATAGTGATTTTAAGTAAAAGCATATTGGAGAAATACCAAAGCAACATAGTCTTCCTTTTTAGTAAATTCAAAACCTTAGTCCAAGAGACAAAGAACATTTTAATCTCTGAATCTGTCAGAGCCAAGAGCAATCAGGGCTGGGAACGGGGAAGAAGATGAGGGTTTCTGAGCCGTGTAACTGCCCAGGTTGGCATACACACATTTGAAGAGTAAGGTGAGACTACTCAGGACTGCAGAGGAAGACCCACAGGTTACATCCTAGAGCACGAGGAAGTCAGGAATACCTAGGCAGATGCAGAAATCAGTGGAGATCTGGAAGGAATGCCCATTCCCCAGACAACCAGAGTTGGTAAATGTAGATAAAGGGGTTGTTTCTGACAGGTCTAGAGTCTAGAGGAAAAGGTAGCCAGAAGTGGTTGAGGCTGATGCAAAAATAAATAGAGCAGATAGTATGAAGATGTGTTCACATTGGGGTATAAACTAAATCTGAGGACAGGGCAGTCACTCACTCTGCTGTGCTTCTGACCTGGGACTCTAAAGGTTCTCTGCTCAGCTTCAGACAAGACTGTTTATTTAGCACCCGCTACAAAAGTGGCAAAGGGAATGCAAAACCCATCTGACTCAAGACAAGCTTGTGGAGCCCGAGTATTCATTGCTGCTAACACAACACTCTTTCCTGTTTTCCCTGCTTCCTTACTGCTCCTACCTTCTTGACCCGCTTTTCTGTCTTTCACTGGCTTCTTTTTCCATTTCTTTTATTTCCGAATTTTCTTTCTTGATATTCAACATATTCCCCAAATCAAACAATTTCCCCCAAAGAGGGTGATTGTATTTCTAAGTACTTGGGTATTTATTTCTCTTTGAATTCTCTCCATCACTTCGTATATTATGTGTAAGTTATTCAGTACTGGGAGGGGGTGTAAAGAGAAGAATGATAGCCACTGAAGCAGTCATTTACTCATTTATCCAATAGCCATTTATTGCTTAACAAGTGCTAGATGTTATTTGCAACACTGAAAATACAGAAATGAGAGAGATGAAATTCTGGTCCTTAAGGACTCAGTCTAGGGGAGGACTAAGACACAGAAACACATAAAGACGCCAGAAACTGAACTCAGAGGGACTATGAAATGTGTAGGGTTGTTTGAGAAGGGATTTGGGGCCTAACATGGCTCCTGCTATATTTCAGAATATATTTTAATTTGCTATATAGTATAAATCTCCATTTGTGATGTTATAGCCTCTTATTTTTTTTGGTCAATGGTGTGTGTTATAAATAAATAAAACTAATAGAAGTATGTATTCAAGGGAGGTGATTTTTGAGGTGGGCATTGAAACATGGAGTTCAGATAGTGAGAAGAAGGAAAAGAAGCAGGATATACAGTATATGCAAATACGTAGGGGGGTTAAAATCCTGAGGTGTTCAGATAATGGTGGGTAGTTTTTTCTGTGGGACAGTAGAGTACCTGGAGTGACAGGAGTAGCAAGGGAATTCTGGAAGGAAAAGAACTTCTGGTCATACTAAGAAGATTGGACCTTATCCTGCAGTCAAGGAAGAAAACTTGGTGGTTTTTAAAGAGGAGAGCCACATTTTCTGCTCTGTGATGGCAGACTGAAAAAGATGGATTGGAGTGAGGGAGGCAAAACATTAGGAGATAGTGGAGGTGAGGGTCTGGACCAAGACAGTGGTGGTAGTGGTACAAATGAAATGACTGATGTGAACAACACTGAAGAATCAGAGTGACATGACTTCAAGAATGTCCGTGTACAGCCCGTTGGGGAGAGGGGAGAGGCAGGCTTCCATCTGGATGGTGGTTGATGTTTTCATTTCCACAGATATTGATTACATGGTCCTTGGAAGTTGCTTAGAATCTTTCAGGGGTAAAGTCACCAGCACAGGAGAAGTAAGTCAGCAACAGTTTACCTTCCCTCACACTTTGCAGATTGCCATGACTTCCATTCCTTGTTTGGTACCTTGTGAATGACATCACAAGGCAGTGCATGACTGAGTGTCAAGCATGTGTTCCCAACAGTGAGGGCTGTGTATGGAGAGATGGTAGCATGTACAACATGAAGAATTCAGGGCTATTCCACAAGAAGATAGAACAATTTATAAATGTTTATGTACCCAACATAGGAACACTTAAATATATAAAGCAAATATTAACAGACCTGAAGGGAGAAATAAATAGCAATATAATAGTAAGGGACTTCAATACCCCAATTTCATTAATGGATAGATCATCCAGACAGAAAATCAATAAGGAAACAGTGGACTTAAATGACATATTAGGCCAGATGGAATTAACAGACATTTACAGAACATAACATACAAAGGCAGCAGTATACACATTTTTTCTCAAGTGCACTTGGAACATTCTCCAGGATAGGTCATTTGTCAGGCCACAAAACAAATCTTAATTAATTTAAGAAGATTAAAATTAAATCAAGGAACTTTCCCACCAGAGTGGAAGGAAACTAGAAATCAATTACCAGAGGAAAACTGGAAAATTCACAAGTATGTGGAGGTTAAACAACATGCTACTGAAAAACCAATTTTTCAAAAAGAAAAAACAAACAAAAAAATGCCTTGAAACAAATAAAAATGGAAATACAACACAGCAAAATGTATGGGATGCAGAAAAGTATTTTTAAAAGGAAATTCATAACAATAAATGCGTACATTAAGAAAAAGACAGATCTCAAATAAACACCTAATTTTATACCTCAAAGAACTAGAAAATGAAAAACAAACTAAGGCTGAAGTTATTAGAAGGAAGGAAATAACAAAGATCAGAGCGGAAATGAATGAAACAGAGGGTAAGAGAAGATAGAAAAGATCAATGAAATTAAGAGCTGATTTTTTTTCTGAAATGATTTCAAAAACCTTTAGCTGTACTTACGAAGAAAAAAAGAGAGAGTACACAAAAAATAAAATCAGAAATGAAACAGAAGATGTTACAACTGATACCACAGAAATACAAAGGCTCTTAAGAGACTGTTGTGAACAATTATGCACTAACAAATTGGACAACCTAGAAGAAATGGATAAGTTCATAGAACATAACCTACCAAGACTGAATTATGAAGAAATAGAAAATTTGAGCATACTGATTACTAGTAAGGAGACTGAATCAGTCATCAAAAACTTCACAACAAATGAAAGTACAGGACCAAATGGCTTCACTAGTGAATTCTAGCAAACATGTAAAGAAGAACTAAAACTAATCTTCCTCCAATTCTTCCCCCCAAGTAGAAGAGCAGGAACATTTCCAAACTTGCTTTATGAGGTCAGCATTACTTTGATACAAGAAAAAATTATAGGCCCATATCCCTGATGAACATAGATGCAAAAATCTTCAGCAAAATATCAGCAAGCTGAATTCAACAATATATTAAAAGGATTGTGATCATGTGAGATTTATTCTGGGGATGTAAGGATGGTTCAACATTCACAAAGCAATTATTGTGATACACCCAAATTTAAAAAAATGAAAGGTGAAAATCATTTGATTATCTCAATAGACAGAAAAAGCATTTGACAAAGTTCAACATCAATTCACAATAAAAACTCTCAACAAAGTGGGTATAGAGAAAACATGCCTCAATATACTAAAGGTCATATATGACAAGCCCACAGCAAACATCATTCTCAATGTTGAAAAGCTGAAAGCTTTTCCTCTGAGATCAGGAACAAGACAAGGATACCTACTTTTGCCACTTTTATTCAGCATACTGATGGAAGCTTCTAGCTAGAGCAATCAGGGAAGAAAAAGAAATAAAAAGCATACAAACTAGAAAGGAAGAAGTAGAACTGTCTCTATTACCAAATGACATGACATCATGTGTGGAAAACTCTAAGGACTCCACCAAAAAAC